TAACTTAGCAAACGAGCCGAACATGAGCTTCTTAATGAGTCGAACACGGGATGTTCGCGAACAATGAGCTATTTTGACAGCCTTACACAAATCTCGAGATGATTTGATGGTCTAAATAAAAAGATTGATAACAAAAAGTTGTTAAAAATCGACTATAAATATAAAAAGGCACCATGAAGATTTGTAACTTTCCCTATTGAAGCGAGATAATAATTAAAAAATGAAAATAAAAAACCTTGTAACCCCTTCATTAAGGAAGAGGCAAATATATAATTTTGAACTTGATCACTCTTTCTTATATAAATAGAGAGCTCATAAAATGTAAATGAGAGATCTTTACTCTTGACTTTTCTCATGTAGAGAGAACTCATTTTTTATATATTAAAGAGGCCAAAGAGCTCGGGGATATAACAGTTAACTACAGAGCAAGTCTATGTGTTATACTTATTTTTTTCTTTACCGTCTCTTTTTCCCTCTAGAGGTCTTTACTGCTCTGATTCTTGGGATAAATTTGAATTCAACAATGTATGTAAACTCAGGGTCTGTTTGGGGCAGCCGCAGCTTGTCCAAATTATCCAGATAAACTACTTATTATAATAATCTGCTGATAAGCAGCTGATCCAGATAAGATGTCTGGTTGTTTGGTTTGTGTGTTTGGAAAACAACTGATTCTGGACAAATGACCAGTCTGCCCCTGTTTTGAAAAAGCTATTTAACTTTTTGGTTAGTGTGTTTTTGCAAACAGCTGATCTTCCAAATTTAAAATGAGTGAAATGAAAATCAATTAAGAAAATGTAGAGTGCACAAGTTGAAAAGCCATCCTTTACATTAAAGAGTTGTTAAACTTACCGAGCTCAATAAAAAATTTATATACTCTTCTATAATGATCAAGTTTGGAAAGTGTTGAATTTAAAGAATGATATATGATGACTGAAATAAAAGTACACATTTGTTGGATCCACCTTAATTCTTCAAGTGTAAAAAAATAGTAAAAATGCTTGCAGACCTAGCTCTAACAAAAGTTTCATGTTGAACTTTTACAAATCTAAGGAGAGGAAAGATTAAAAAAACAAAATAACAAAAAATGCACAAACAAATGCAAAGGAGAGAAAATAACCATCCTAAGGAGAGGAAAGAACCAAAAAAAAAATGCAGCAATTTACCGAGCTCGAGCCGAGAGAAATGGGGGCAAGAAGCAGGAGAGTCGGAGGAGGAGAGGAGATACCGAGCCTTCGGCGCAAGAGTGCTCCGCCCATTCTCCGGCCGTGCGAGAGGACGAGAGTCGATTGGTCGAACGCTTAGGCGAGAGGAGGAGAGGAGATCGGTTCAATCGAACACTTAGGCGAGAGGAGGAGAGGAGATCGGTCGAACGCTTAAGTGAGAGAGATCGATCGAGCGCTTACGGCAAAGAGCAAGGGCTTTAGAGAGGGCAGCGAGTGTCTTTCGCTGGATCGAAACACAGATCGCGGGGTCCCACGTCCAATAGAAATTAGGAAACACATTTTTCAAAAAAATCTGTAAAACGCAATATTCAAACAGCCGGTTGAGAAAATGCAGACAAAATATATATTTATAATCAGAGAATTATTATAAAATGCAGTTTTATTATGAAAAATTTTCACTCGATGGTGCTGCGTGTGGTTGAAAGAGATCAACAGCGAGTGATCATTAATATATCTTTAAAGGTCAGCATTTTCTGTCATCATCATACAAATAAATAAAACATATTTTTAAAATACAAAATACATTTTATTTTATATAATAAATAAATGTAAAAACAAAAAAAAAATAATATTGATATATCCCAGCTTTGTCGAGCTCCAAGCTCTCTTTATTAATCTCGTAGATCAACATAAATAAGCATTTTATTTGATATGAATTATATATGGAGGCATTTACAAACAGACCGCCAAATTCCTTCATGTATCTACATATTTAGCACATCTTTATTTTTTTCAATATTATATATCACCCAATTCTTTTATATTACATACAAAATAACTCAATTTCAACTTCTAAAATGCAAAATACATATTTTCATATATGATTAACGTGACATATATGTTGGTGGGCAGGATCATGTAAGTGGGTATTTATAAACCGCGTACCTCGGCCTGTTAGTTTGCATCTTCAGTGTAAGACACCTCCGGTTGGGGGGTTCGAACCCCCACTGGCACGGCTGGCCTTAAGAAGGTGGTACTCGAATTGTTAGGCACATTAGGAGTGGTTGGAGGCTTGTATAATAGCCTTTGGCCATTCCTTTAATAAATAAATCGAGAACTAAATTGGCACCAATATAAGTTATGTTGTCTTTGGATGCATCACATAAGCTTCACCTATTTTTATTGTTATATGAACTGAGACAAGTATGATTAATATTGGCTGATAGAATAGCAGTATAACCGAAGTAAGTTAGTCTTCCTATGGGTTGACTTTTCATTTCTCTGTTTCTTCTGCCGTTTCTGTTTTCTAGTTACAATATAAAGGCTGTGATGCATTCAAAACAGCATACTTGAATTGGTTTGCACGTCTCTTCAGCTTATGGAGTGGTTGCCTTTGTGCTCTATAAAAGGACCCAAATCCATAAAAGATTAATGAGAAAATATAAAGAAGCAGAATACAATCACAAAAATATTACAAGGTTTGTAATGAAAATGCAATCTCCTAGTTTTCTGCATTTGGTATTTGTTCCAATAACTCTTGTTTGATGTTGGGTTACAACATCTATAACTTTCATCAATGATTTTTCCAGTGTTACTTGGATTTATTTTATTTAAATGTCGCACTGAAGTTATGTGTATTTCAAAGCTTTCATCAAAAGATTATGTACTAATAATGTTTTAAGATTCCAATAATCTCATTTTTATGCTCTATGAATCATGTTCTTCATTAAAACTCTAGTTCTTACACACCTCAATAGAAAAAAGAAAAATGAATGAAAAATTCACCATTTTGCTAAAAAAATAAGGTGAGAGGTGGCCTCACTTTAGATAAAATAGTGTATTTGAAAATCGACATAATCGAACGAATTAAAAATACATTGAAAATGAACTAGAGAGTAAATTCCACCACATTTGCATTTTTAAAACCATTGCAAAAGGGATGCAATGCACTCCTTTTGCTGCCAACCAACCCACCCTTTAAGTGTAACTTGCATGGGTATTATTTTACTTGAACAAGTTATAGGTGTTATTTTGTGCTTACACGATGCATGTGCTTGTGTTGATATCATATTCCCCTTTTATTAAAAGTTCTTTTTTCCAACTCTATTATATTTCACTTGATTAATTATCAATTTA